CATAGCAATAGATACCCATGATAGCTGCGTTATTGTATGGACTCCCGAGGAACGTCATCTCAAACAAACTGGAAATTTGGAAGAAAAAGGATGAGTTCCTAGAACCAACCTTCTCTGTCATGAAACTAGAATAGATCTGACACAAACACTGGAATCTTAGCCCTAATGATCTCTTCGAAAAATATTCCAGGACTAGCCAAGTGCCTTTAATTCCAGCACTCAGAAAGCAGAGGCAAGTGGCTTTCTATGAGCTCAAGGTCAGTGAGTTACAGGACAATCAGTGACTGGACAGATTCAGCAATAAATTCTCTAAAGGGACAACATACCAAATAAGGACAAGACAGACCAGTTGTCTGACTAAAAAGAGACACCAAGACTCTCTGAACTATACAGAAACAAAGGTCAGCAATGGAACCGAATCAAATACCCAGATATTAATCCACATATTTTTGAACATGTGATTTTTGACAAAGCAAAAAGTATTAAATGGAAAAAAGAAAGGATATTTAACAAATGGTGCTGACATAACAGGATATCAACATGTAGAAGAATGAAAATAGATCCATATCTATCACCATGCACAAAACTCAAGTCCAAATGGATCAAAGACCTCAACATAAAGCCAGCCACACTGAACCTCTTAGAAGAGAAAGTGGGAAGTACACTTGAACACATTGGCACAGGAGACCACTTCCTAAATATAACCCCAGTAGCACAGACACTGAGAGAAACAATTAATATTTGGGACCTTCTGAAACTGAAAACCTTCTGTAAATCATGGTCAAACAAGACAAAACAACAGCTTACAGAATGGGAAAAGATCTTCACCAAACCCATATCAGACAGAGGGCTGATATCCAAAATATACAAAGAACTTAAGAAATTAATCATCAAAAGAAAAAATAATCCAATAAAAAAAATGGAGAACTCTCAACAGAATCTAAAATGGGTGAAAGACACTTAAAAAAATGCTCAACATCCTTAGTTAACAGAGAAATGCAAATCAAAACAACTCTGAGATTCCATCTTACACTTGTAAAAATGGCCAAGATAAAAAAACACTGATGACAACTTATGTGGGAAAAAGGGAACACTCCTGTATTGCTGGTGGGAGTGCAAGCTGATACAGCCCCTTTGGATATCAGTATGGTGATTTCTCAGAAAATTAGGAAACAAACTTCCTCAAGACCCAGCAGTACTACTTTTGGATATATATCCAAAGGGTGTTCAATCGTGCCACAAGGACATGTGCTGAGCTTATGTTCATAGCAGCTTTGTTTGTCGTATCCAGAACCTGGAAAACAACCTAAATGCCCCTCGACCAAAGAATGGATAGGGAAATGTGGTACATTTACACAATGGAGTACTACACAGCAGAAAAAAATAACGACATCTTAAAATTTGCAGGCAAATTGATGGATCTAGAAAATATCATACTGAGTGAGGTAACCCGACCCAGAAAAACAATTATCGTATGTATTCACTCATAAGTGGTTTTTAAACATAAAGCAAAAGCAGCCTACAAATCACAATCCCAGAGAATGTAGACAACAATGAGGACCCTAAGAGAAACATACATGGATCTAATCTACATGGGAAGTAGAAAAAGACAAGGTCTCCTAAGTAAATTGGGAGCATGGGGACCTTGGGAGAGGGTAGAAGTGGAGTGGAGAAACAGGGAGGGGAGCAGAGAAAAATTTAGAGCTCAATAAAAGTCAATTAAAAAAAAAGAAAGAAACAGAG